TGCTTTCCCAAAAATCCCACAATGATCTTAATGGTTTTTCATTTCTTTCGAGAGAGCGTAACAAGGACAAAGTGCGTTAAAAGGATGAAAAGAAAAGTCGTCTGCTCCGGCTAGGTCGAGGCGGTTCCTTTCGTATCCTCGCGTGTTTCGCATTCAAATGCCTTCGCCTGGCGTAATTTAGAACCCGTTTGGAGCCCACGGCGAGGCACCCTTTCACCCGGCTTCTCCTCCAAGATTTCGTGTAGCATCTGGTCGTGTAGCAGAGAGCGAGTCAGCGAGCGCGTGCAAGAGAGAGAGAGAGAGAGAGAGAGAGAGAGAGAGAGAGAAAAGAGCTGGTCCACAGCGATCAAATAAAGGCGAGAAATTACGGGCTGCTTTTGGAAAGGAAGACGACGCGCCACGGGCGAAAATCCTTCGTTTCTTATCGCCCTTGAACGCGCCTCTCGTCCTTGACAACTTTTACGAATCCTACCAGAAGAGATATACGCGTTACTTTGTTAAATCAACGCGAAAAAGAAGATACCAAGAATAGTATTTACGTTAGAGGGGAGCTTCTCGAATGGCAAGTATGAAAGGATATACCTGTGGCAAAGGCAAAGATAGCAATGCGCTATCGGAGATACATACGTCTGGCATCGTTGGAAAGGTCGAGACAAGAGATCAATTTGCATGTCACTGATAGGAATCCACTCGACTTGGCGAACGTTCGTTCGGCAAACAACGTCGACGACGACGACGACGACGACGACGACGACGACGATAGGCACGAACCGGTATCGAGGAATGACGGAAGCGGCAAATAGTTAGAGACAAACGATACGATATCTCCGTACAAGACTGCGCCCAAACGGGTAATCGCTTCGAATAAGGAATAGTACCCAGTATTACAAGTCGATGTTTTGATACTACGCTCTAACGAGAAAGGAGAACTTCCTACGAGGTGACTCCTCGTGGTATGTGCCATGAAATGTCTCCCCGAATAGACGAGGCTCTCTTGTCATTTACAACGGAGTAGGTAAGGTATAGGTCTTAATAAATATTCTTCATCTTTCTCTCGGTCAAACATTTTACCTTGAAATTACATTTAAAGAGGTCTTATTAATCTACGACGATTATAATTAATAGATGGTAGTGAGATAATCGTATTTATCTCAATCTACTTTTATCGGCAAAAGAAAGGAAAATAATACTCGCGTGATTTCTATATCGTAGATGAAAAGAAAGAGACAAAGTTGCTCTCTATTATCTCGCACGGTAAGTGCTTGTCAATTTGGACAGCGATGAAGAGAACGAAGTAAAAGAAGAGGACGGAGCGAATGTCGTTGCCGGGGAACGACCTTCCTTGGAACTATTATTATTGATAATTGCGTCTGTATAACGCCTCGTCCTGAGAACGACCGATCCTCAGATCCCAACCTTCCTTCTTCTTCGTTCTCGGATCGAGCCACAAATGAACGAGGGGAACAATACGACAACAGGATGTCTGGAGGAAAATGATAAACAAAAACACAGAGTGGATAGAGGTCGACCAGTTCTGGCGGTGGGTCGACGAGTCGAGTAGAAAATTCGACAGAAGACACGCCTCGTTATATTTCAAGCGCGATTCCCTACGAACGATATACACACACACACACGCCGCGAGATACTGCGAAAACAGCGTCGTTTTCGATTTTAATTAAAGTAAAAAGAGATCCAATTAGAAGATCAAAATTCCACGTCGTCTTATCGAAAAGAATATCTTCGAAAATGTTCAGCTTTTATTCTTTTTGTTAAATTCCGTTCAAAGTTGTGACTCGAGGGTCCCTTCATAAGACACGAGGAAGGAGCGACTCATAATTCATATGTCGTCACGCCGTCTCGTTTACACCGGTAATAAATTATCCAAGTGTGACTTACACGGGATTAAAATACTACAAATTACTACTACACGTTTTATCAATCCATATTATCGTTTCTAACGAGCGCGTTTGTATTGTTATTAAAAGGATCGAAATATACTTGGTAAAATTAAATGTTTTTTTCTTATTATTAATCACTGATAACGTAATTAAAAGGAACGCGTTAAAAACCAGAAACGATTATTCGTGGAACGCTACTACGATGGCGACGACGTCGTCGTCGTACAGCGCATAGGAAGACAATTAATTCGCCGTCGTGTTTCAACTGGTTCCCTTTAGATGGATTTGAGTGGACGAAAATTATCCAGACCGCCTAGGGTGTCCATTATTCCCAGATAATTACATACTTCTCCCTGAGGAATTTTCGAAATGAGTTTCTGCCCTGCTCTCTCCGGGGATGTGGCTATCGGTTCCAAGTCACCGCTTCTTTTCGTCATTGGCGTCGATAAGTCTCTCCCTCTCTCTCTCTCTCTTACTCTCTCCCTTTTTTTCTCAACGGAATGCGTCGAGGAAAAATGCCTAAAGAATTTCGAGATGGAACGTACCTAAAAAGATTTCGTTGTAAGGTCTCTCCTTTGAATAGCGCTGCCTTTCTTAAAGCGTCGAATCGTCGTAAGAATACCGAAGGAACAGCGAACATTCCGCTACTAGCAGCGCTGCTAGCGCGGCTGCTATGGTGGCGAGAGATCGAGCTAAAGCTAACTGGACACGGGCGTTGCACGTAAGTAAACAGAGTGGTTGATCAGAGCTCTCGCATACTTACTTCTAAAGTAAGTACCTTTCTCGAAGTCCAAGCACCGAAGCGTGGTCCGATACAATGAATCTAAGCCGGTCATTAAACCGGTCGTTATAGCTCAAAACTGTTTCATGCCGGCAGTCGTCTAGAAGCTCAATTTCAACGAGTCCACGGTGTGCCTCCTTCATCGCGTTCCATTAAATCGTAAAGGTGCAGCTTCCGTGTTCCGACTAACTGTTAACTACGACGACGACGACGACTATGCGAAAAGGACGAATGATCCGAGGAAGTAAAAGAGATAAAGAGATGCAAGAGAGGTACCATTAAACGTAACCAACAGCCCGTACCCCGTTTAGTCTAGTTTAAAGCGCTCCTTCGAAGTCTCCTTCGAAAAGATCTCCTTCGAGAGACTGATTGCAAGTGAGCAGGTTGAACAGAGCTGGGTAATGGAGGCATCCACATATCTTCGCTAACGGTAGAACTTTCTGTTATCTCGGAGTCACTTTGAGGTACAAGCAGCGGCGACGTCTTATCGCGCACTGTCACCAAAGACCGACGAAACGCCGGTCGTCTTTGTTCTTCCAGGAAAGCGACGCGACAAGGCCATTTCTCGTTCCACAGTTTTCTCTTAACACGAGACGGACGACCGATTGTGACACGTTTTATTGCAAGGCAAATACGATACGAGAGGAAGGTAATTGCGAGAGTCGACGATCAATTGGATTCAAAGATGAGATAGAAAGATTGGACGTGTTACAAGAACTCGAACGCCCAGGAAATCAAGGATCTCAACAGATTTCATCTCGGAATGAGCACAAGGTGCCAACCAAAGATGTGCGTGCACGCGAGCGAACGTGCGTGCATGTGTGTGAGAGAGAGAGAGAGACGACTGTGAGAAAAGGTGTCTCGAGGTGAACCTCTTTCGCACCACGCGAACAAGATCGTCCATTTCCTTTTTGCGACTTTCGTGCGACCTCGCGCGAGATGACGATTTCGAGCTTACCACGCCTCCAAGGACCTACTCTACTAGTAAGGTGACGAGCCAAGGTCGACGAATACAAAAGATACGCACCTTTTCGTATCACGAACTTTAAGGAATATCAGAAATATCACGCGGGCGATAGAGATAATCGAAAGAAAGATTGTATTTACGGTGGCTGCACGGATCTCCCTATGTCACCTTAGAAGGATAATAAGGGGAGGGGGAGGAGGAATGGCGTGTCTCATTATCCATACGCAGTCGTACTTATCTTCTTAATAAATCGAACGGACTTGAAAGAGATTAGAGACGGTTCGTGTCGGTTTTAGAAACGATAGGGCTTCTTCGTAGAGTTTGAATTATAGAATCGACCTCCAACCGGTTCAATGAAAAGATCTACATTGAATTAAGGAGCTTTGCCAAGAAATAGGAAGAATTTTTTCGAGGACGTATTGTACACGACGTTAAATCGGTACCGTTGACAATGCATTTTCAAGTGAGCATTGACATCAGGAAGAGGAAACGTTATCGCGCATGGACGAACCGCTATCCTCCTCTTCCTCTTCCTCTTCCTCTTCCTCTTCTTTCTTCTCCTCCTCGTCACCGTCGTCGTTGTCGTCGTCGAAGGTCCTCTCTCGACCAAGGTAGAGAGATATTACGGAGAGAGATCGTGGGGAGTCCGGGAAGCGTGAACCGGCCTGTCAGTCGAGCACAATTGACTTCGACCTTTGACGCTTCTACGTTCCGAGGAAGCCACTTGGCGGGGCAGCTTTTGATTCACTGCCTGGCTATAAAGTTAGAAGTCTGACAGTTCATGATACTTCAATGATAATACGTGACCGTCGGCTTCATCCATCTCGTTTTCTTTCTCTCTTTCTTTACCGAGTACGAAAGGAGGAAGGGAATTCCATGAAAATGATTCTTTAATAGAAGGCGCCGGGGGAACGAACAAAATACCGTTTAACATTTTCTCGACACATTAACGAGAAAAAGTAACGTAGAGCGGGGTTAAGTATTTTAGTTAGCAATTAATGAGATCGATGATCGTAGAAGCCAATTTAAGCATTTTCTAGGTTTACGACAACGGATCTTACGTAAGCCTTATAAAAGACTCGATGGCGTAAATAAAATATAAAAAGAAAGAACGATATTAATTCGTTCTCTTTAACGAACACGAACAGCTGTGTGACCCGTGTCATCTTTCTCAGCGACAGTTGAGAATAGTCGGAGTGCGAATCCGTATCAGTACGATAAACGGATTTGTCAACGGTAAAGTGGATTTTCGAGTGAACACGAAAGGCGGTTGAGAGGGGCGACGGTGCCCTTAAAGGGATTCGATTCGTCTTAGCGTATCCATTTTGAATTATAAATCGAAGCGAGTACTTACGTGCTCGTCGACCGAATAAGTCAACTCTCCGTCGTCGTAAAGGACGAACCATCTTCTTTGCCATCTCTGAAACAGAAATAAAAAACAAAAAATGTCGAGTGAAAGGTTAATAAAGATAGCCACGTCAATCACCGTTTAAACTCTTACCGCGAAAACTCGACTCTCGCTTTTTCCTCTTTTTCTTCTCTAAGTATATAGCGGAGCTTCCACGAAATCGTAATTACGACTCTGAGCGAAAACTATTCTACGAGAAAGAGTAAAGAGTCCGTATACTTGTTCGAGTTCGCGGCAAAGAATCTCTAAGGTTTACCGACGCGCTAGCTGGGTAATTAGCACGAGGTAGCCGTTAATTAGAAACAAAGTCGGAGAAGAAAAGAAAGGTAGGAACGACGGCATGAGCCATCGCGGCAGGTCGTCACGATTTCCCTTTCAATGCCACCTGCGGTGAGGCTCCTACGATTCCTTTTTTAAACGTTTCTGCCTTGCATTTTCCAAATTTTATGATCCCTTGTAAAGAAAAAAAGAAAAAAGAAAAGAAAAGAAAAAAAAAAAAAAAAAAAAACGCGACCGCGCACAGCCATTAATTTATGACGTGGTAAAACGAGAGACTTTCCGACGATGATCATGCCGAGTCATCGCTTCTGGCACGAACTTTGACGAACGAGAAGATGCGAAGGACTCGACTTTGCGATTTTCTTTCTCCTTATCTTTTCATTATCTTTGCATTCATATCAAGAAGATGGAGGAGGAGGAGGAGACAACTTCCTCGTAGATACAATTCGTCGCTGGTCATCGTCGGTAGAGATACGTCGTCGTACGTTGTCGAATAGGCATCTAGGTACCGTTGCAAAATCGTCTGATGCAGAATAGAGAGAAAGAGAGAAGGAAGGGCACGAAGAATAAGAATAAGAAAAAGAAGAAGAAGAAGAAGAAGAAGAAGAAAGGAGAGACGTTCGGCCTACACAGAACGGCGGTATCTTTATCTGGTAATTATTCACCAGGCCTCGGTGAACTCGTACGAGGGGCCCTGGCACGTGCGTGGGAAGATCTTCTCTTCGCTGAAGGAAGAGGAAGAAGTGGAGAGGGAGGAAGAGAAGCAGAAGGAAGACGTAAAGGACGTAAAAGACGAAGAAGCGGGACATTTGGTTGGCGAACAATGCACCGCGAAAGAAAGAGAGGAAGAGAATTGAGACACGGTGTGTAGAAGAGAAAGCGCGGAACTTTGGACTCCGTAATCTCTTCTTCTCGTGTAACGTCTGCTGTAATTCTAGCTATACTTTTAGAGACCTAACCCTCGTACATCTCTCCCTCTCTCTCTCTCTCGCAATGAGAGGAATCGATCGAGGCTTCTTTGTGTCGCGTGCCAAAAGATAATAAAGCGCAGACCCCGTTAGCGCGCTATCGTTGTACCACTTGGCCGCCATTTAGAATACGGATGAATCACCCTGTCTTTTTAACGGTGGTCGGCAAAAAAAAATGACAGGGCAAATACTACTTGATAAACGTTATAAAGCGCGTATTTCCTATGATTAGATCGTATTCCTCGTCTTGAAGCAAAAGACTTTCGAGTCACGTCCGTCCCTCGATGCGCTCTACGGAGTTCTTCTACCGAGAGAGAGTGAGAAGGATGGACCGTAGGATCGACGGATCGATCGATCGCGGTGCGCGCTTCGGAACGCTGACCTACCGCACCTTCTTCCGGGTATAGCGACGATCATTTTGCATCGCCCACGGATCAAGAAGTTTGTCTTACATATCGATGGTCATTCGGAACGCGCTTCCTGGATGAAAAAGAGATACGGGCGGATGGCAAAACGCTATATATCGTAGTATAATATTTCGTTAATTTTCATTTATTAAGTTGCGACATAATAAACCTCTTATCAGCGAGCGAGAGAAAGTTTCTTTAATAAAAGCAAAGAAGAAAAAAAAAAAAAAAAAAAAAAAAGAAAATATCAATGTTGGAAGAATGCGTGTCGTTCCCGTGAGAAAGAGCGAAACGTTTCGTGACGTGGTAAAGAAACGTTCCCGATGTTAGCTTAGACTTCCTAGACGTCGATCGGATTATATCTTCTTCGGCTTCCTCTCTTTGGCTCACGACTCTCCGTCGTCTGAATCGAAGAGGAAGCGCCATCGTCGGCGTCGTGCAGTTATGGCCTGGCGTGCTACGAAACAACTATACCATCGCCACGCTATGGTCTTCCCCTGCGGTAGGAAATGGGCGAGGTTGCTAAAGAGACCAATCTGACCTCAACGGTAACGTGACCTAATCCATTCCCAACCATGATTCTTTTCCTTCGATCCAGGACCCATAATTTGTGGATCTTGTTTCGTCAACCTGCATTCCTTCTTGCAGCCCCCCTCCCCCCGTTCTTCCTCTCTTTAGAACGATTCTTTCGAGCGAATTCATAATTAAAAAAGAAGAAAAGATAGAAAGAAAGGAAAAGGGAGAAAAAGGGAAGGAAAAAAAATTATATATATTAAGAGAAAATATATATACGGAAAGTAGTTTCGTCGGATGCACCGACTCCAAGCGTATAAAAGGCAATGCAGCGCGTAAAGTGAAAGTATCCTGATCTTTAAAGATGTTACGGAACATCGAGAGGAACGGGCAAACATCGATTCGGATGGTAAACGACTAATTGGCGCAAACCCAAGACGGTTCAAATTGAACGGCACCTCGCGAATGCGAACTTGGAACAACTTTTTTTTCATCGAAGCGTCACGTGCTACGCGCATTTTTCCATTTGCTATCGAGAGAAAAGTATATATGTATATATATAAGTGGTTGCAACAACGAGAGAAATCAGTTTTATTATCGTTCTCTTATTAGACGCGCAACCGCCGCCGAGAATCTCCGACCTTATCAACGTCCTCGATGAGAACGTTGTAAAAGAGAAATCTTCCTTTCCGATGAAAGTAGAAATTTCTTTCGATGGCCGACCGTAGTCGTATTCCGCGTATCGCTCGTTGATTCGCTTTTCTTTCTTCTTCGAAACGAAGAAACAAAGTAAAACGATTTAATCGAAGGTACGATGAATTTTTATTGCTCCGTTATACGTCCTCATAGAGATCGAAGTCAAATAGCGTAATTAATTCTCCGTCTTGCGTAGAGCATAATTTCAAAGTTTCGCCCCGTTAGTCCTCGTACTCTCGGCAAGATAATTGCTCGTCCAGTCAATAATTAATTCGACGAGATAGAGAGAGAGAGAGAGAGAGAGAGAGAGAGAGAGGGTGGTGGAGAAGAGAGATCATTAAAATAGGTATATTCGACGAATCCCGCTGCTTCGCTACGCGTCGTTGATGTTTTATCCGACCTTAAAGATTTTCTCTCGATTAATAAGTCATAAGAAAGGACATCGCGTGGAACGAATATATATTATGGCTGCCTAACCCTTTTGCAGAATTCGATCTTCGAAAAAGATTATTTTTAAATTAATCGAAACACGCGATCCACGATGCGCATATCTTATTTAGAATTTTTGCTCTTGCAATTTTAACGGGCAATGATTTAGCGATAAATCCATAGAAAGTCCGGCTTTGTTAATTTCACCCGGCAGATAGTTCCTTTAGAGAGTGAACGTTAATAAATAAAATATTATTCCCCTCTCGCGGGGAGCAGCTAGTTCGTAACACCTCCTTAAAATGTAAATCGAAATTTCGCCGCCAAGCCGACTATCCACCCACGCGCTGTTGCCCGACTATCCCCTTCTAGTCCAGGTTAATAATTTATCCGCACCCGATACGTCAGATTTACGAGCGCATAAGCAAAGGCTCGATCGCGGGTTCGGGACAAAAATAAGAAAAAGGCGTGTCAATTTGTGACGTGCCATAAACATCGTAGTAGTCTCGTTGTAGAAACCGTTAGGAGCAATGCAGCCCGTGATGATTACTCGTCGGAAGGAAAGAAGCGAGGGGCCGAAAGAGAGAACAAATGAAAAGTAAGACGAATCTCCGTGGCGACAAGACACGGGACGATTAAGTGAAATCGCGACGTCGAAAGTAGATCCGTCAGCTTTTTCGAGACAGGATTATAAAAGAAGAGACCGGAAAATCCTCCTCTTTCGTCGTTTTCCAATGCGTTTTCCAATGCGTTTTCACCGGGCGATAAGAAAAAAAGGCACGGTCGATTCGTCTCCTTCGATTCGTCAGCCAGAAGAGGAGAAATAGAAAACCGCGTAGGCTACATCGAAAGGAGAAAAACTAAAACGGGTTCGTGTTCGGACAAGAGCTAGAAAGGTGATAATTGACGGCTGACTTTCTCGAGTAAGCCGTTCTCCTGTGCCTCCCTCCCTGTTGGCGCGAATAACTTAATCGAATGGTATCGTCCTTCGCGTATCATAATTCGTTGTGACAAACGAATTATGTCCAACGAAGGATGTCCGATAAATCCTTGGGACAATGCGACGTCTCTTTGTTCGGTGACATCGCTGCATCGTTCCTCCCGCCGCCACGAGGACAATGAAAACGGAAGAGAAACGAAGAGAATAGAGGAAATAAAGGAAAAAGGGATCTATCTATAGTTCCTTCGTCTTTTTTATTATACGGACAATTTTCATTAGCCGTCGAAGAGTATTTTACGATAATAGAAGGCAATTCTCGAGAGGTATCGTTATTTTGCGAGCGTGTACATTTAAAGTGGCCGATGTATCGACGCGGCTATGCGTGCGAGCACGCATTTATCTTGCTTCCGTTACGACTTGCTTCTTGTCGACAGCTTCCTCGTGCTAACTCGTATTACCCTAACGTGTAGATCGTTTCTTCTATGATCTCTCTCTCTCTCTCTCTCTCTCTTTATTTTCCTTTGCCAACCATGACCACGATCGCGCAAAAATCGCAGAGTCGAAGGAATAGCAATTAAAGACGAGATTGCATTGAGAGAGAGAGAGAGAGAGAGAGAGAGAGATGCGAACATAGAAAATCGTTACGCGATCGACGAGTGGATTGAGATGGATCTTCGTTGAGCAAAATAGCGAAATATTTAACCTCCGATGATCGATCTTGATCGGCGAAGAACGTAAATCGGAGGAACTCGTTCGATCGTGGCCGCTAAAGGATACATTAAA